TGCTATATATACTTGAATAAAAATCCCAGCTCCCAAGAGGGTAGACGTTAAAAAAAAAAAAAAAAAAAAAAAAAAATTTATTAAATAAAATTTGTGATCACTTGCCATATAAATGACTCTTTCTGGCAAATTTTTAAAAATATTGCCAGAAGGGGTCATCTATACTACAAGTGATCCCAAATTTTATTTAATAAATTTTTCTTATTTTTATATTTATATTAATAATAAACTATAAGATATATACTAATAACCTTGTAATTGTTTTAGTTCATCTACTAGTGGTCTCAAAAAGAATTAAAAATTTTTGGTGCTTTTGGCCCTGAGATAAATACAGAAATCATTAAATTTTCATGTTGCACATGTATTTCAGATGGTAAATTTGCATTTATAAAAAGAATAACCTAGCAGTCATCTCTTTTTTGGCAAAAGATTTGATACCTATCAGTAGATGCTATTAGTGCAATATCTCGGTAGTTTGAAAAAAGTCTAGAAGAAACTAAGGATTTATATTAAAGACCATCAAAAATATCACCTATTTGGTTGCCAACTATATACTCTTGTGTTGAAGTATATGTATGTCGATAATGAAGAGCTTTAGCTCGAATTTTGTCTTTATATTGTTTTTGAAATAAACTTATAATTGACTAGTAGGCAGCACTTTTTCTAGGTATTCTAGATCTTTTGTTAAGCTTATAATGAGGCTTATTACATTCCAGACAATGATTTTTATTAGTAAGCTCACCAGTAAATGCTATATATGAATTAATATAGCAATCTACTAGTTTTGGTTTAAAGGGTACAAAATTTCTGAAAAGCTTTTGAAGTCTATAAAGTGTAACTCCAGAAATCTCTAAAGTTCTAAGAATTTCATTAAATGCTGTCTCTGAAATATTATAATCATTTTTAATTCGAAAAAGTTGTAGGCCTGTAAATAAATTTTCTAAAATAATTTTTAGATTTATATAAGTAGTATTAAAGTAAAATTATATTTTTTAATAATAAGCTTACCAAAATTTATATATTCACTATCAAATTCCTCATTATTGTCCTCATTACTTTCCTCTTCACTATTTTCCTCACTAGCTTCTCTATTATCTTCCTCATCGTATACCTCAGTATACTTCTCATTATACTCCTCATTATACTCCTCATTATACTCCTCATTATGCTCCTCATTATACTCTTCATTATACTTCTCATTATACTCCTCATTATACTCTTCATTATACTCTTCATTATAATTTTCACAATCTTTTTCATTATAATCTTCGTAATCTTTCTCATCATATTTACTATTATTACTAAAAGTCTTTTTTTTCTTCTATAGTTTCATGTATCCTAAGTCATCCGGCTCTTGACTGTTACATGATAATGATATTATTGGGGTGGTGGGTAATGATATTGATCCAACTGCTAAAGAAATAGAAGTGATTAGATATCATTGTTGAGCAGGTATATTTGTTGAATTAGGCCAAGTTGTTTTTTGTTTTAATGAATATCTTGCTCAGGTTAATCTACTAACTAATTTGCTATGATTATCTGATTCTCGAAGACACCAAACATATGTACAAAGAACTTTATCCATTTATATAAGAAATAATTTTATTACAATAAAAAAAAGAAAAAGTTATTTCTTATAT